CCAGATTGTGCATTTCTGGTTGTATTTAGCAGTCTTTTTTATACCATAGATAAGGCTGTGTAAGCTTGATCTCAGTCTGTCTCTTAGAAACAATATAGTTTGGGGCTTTACTCCTGGGTCTCTGATCCACCTTTAGTATGGCTTGAAATGTGGATCCTGTTTCAGTTTTCTGCAGTTAGCAATCCATTTTTACCAGCACCATGTGCTGGTGAGGTGGTATTTTCCCATTTGATAGGTTTTATTTCCTTGTTGAAGATCACTTGACTCTGAATCCATTTCTGGGTTCTCGGTCGTGTTCCATTGATCTGTACAACTGTCATTGTACCAGTATCATGCTGTTTTGGTTACTCTCACTGAGTAGTAGGGTTTTTATTTTTTAGAAGTTTAATTTTTTTCTTCTTCTTCTTGTGAACCATGGAGTTGGATCCAACTGGCCAGGAAGAGATTGCCTCTCTTTCTCCATCGAAGCATCTAGTGGATTCAACCCATGTGCCTTCTGGATTGCAGTTCATCTTCTTGCTACTAGGCCACGAGAGCTCCCTGGGTTGTAGGTTTTGTGGTCAAGTAATACCATGCCTCCCACTTCATTTCATTTTTTCAGAAGTGCTGTGCTTATTCAGGGTCTCTTTCCTCTCCAAATAAACTTGACATTTGCCTTTTCTATCTCTTTGAAAAATGATTTTATTACCTGTAATGAGATTGCATTGAACATGTAAATTGCTTTTGTTAAGATTGTCATTTTCATAATATTGAGTCTTCCTATCCATGAATAGCGCACATTTTCCCATCTCTTTAGGTCTTTTATTGTGTCTTGCAGAAATGTTCTACAGGTTTTTTGGGTGCAGATTTTTTTGTGTTTCTAGTTAGATTCTCTCCTAAGTATCTCAATTCATGGTTGGCTGTTGTAAATGGTATTACTTTCTTGGTTTCTAAGTCTCTTTGTTACTGTAGAGAAATCCCACTGATTTTGGATATTGATCTTATGTCCTGCCATTCTACCAAATTGGTCTTCTAGCTCCAGCAGATTTTTGTTGAATCCTTTGGGTTTTGTTTACACTATCATATATTATCTGCACATAGTGATATTTTAACAATGTCTTTGCTGATCTGGGTGCCTTTTATTCAGTCAGTATATAAATCTTAATGGGAGAAAGCCGCCCATCTTTCTCCCAGAGAGCAGCTGGTTGATTCAAACTTTCAGAATGCAGTCTTTTGGTTTACCAGCACAACCAAAAAAATTTATTGTTAACTACCATTGATTGAGTCACTGTCTTCTAGTAGATTCCAACTTTTACTGACACTTGGCATCAGGTTTCCAAGATTATAAATCTCTTTTTTTAAAAAACTCGGTAAAGAACTTTATTAACCTTTGTTTCAAATAACTTTATTAATCTTTGTTTCAAATTTTATTCCTAAACTTCTTTAGCTTATGTGGCTATAAAGAATGAATTATAATAAGTAAAACTGAAAAGTGCTGTCATGTCCAAAGGACTTGGGCCTAGAAATGTTAGAGATCTAGATTTTATTAGATCCAAAAGTTGTAATATAAAATAGGAATTCCAGGTAACTTCTTTTGAGTTTTATGTTCTTCAGAAGGCATCTGAAATCAGTTAACCTCATTGTTTGAAGCCCCATCTAAATTCTCCCGAAGACCTTGACTTCATTGTTAGAATCTCCTTAGCAAGTGGTCCTCCAGAGATAGTTTGGCTTGCCGGGTTTCTGCCGTTCTTCGTAAACTAGTCAGACTGTCGACTAACCTGGTTCAAGATGCTGGACAGCACTGCTATTAGTTGCTTTGTCTCAGCATAGCCTGTAACTTTGAAAATGTTGACTGCTGTAGATACATGAACTCTAGGATTATTAAAGTGGATCAGTGTTCCTTGGTTTGTAAACATAGTCACCTATTCAGTAACAGATACATTGTTTATTCCTTATTTCTTTCAAAACTGAAGTCTTTTGTCTTCTGCTACACCTGTTTTAAGAAACACTTCCTTTTTTTTCTGCGAGTAGTTCCTTTTCTACCCCTGTGGAATGCACACTTGTAGTTTGGCAAGTTTCTCTTGATTCATGATCATTTCTTTCATCTTGTCAGAGTAGATAGGGGGCCGTGCAGGGCACTAGGGCTGGCACTCAGGGAGTTCTTTGGCAGAGTAGCATAAATAGGCAAAGACTGTAAATATTAATGGGATGAAGTTGTTCATCTTTCTTCTGAGAAGCCACTAGTTTATTTCAATGACTATTGACATGCATCCTTTTGGTTAGAAAGGTAACTCGCTATAGGCTATGCTGTCAGAGCTCTTGTCAGTAGGGTTCCCTGATACAGTTAAGACGGAGATAGAGAACTGTTTAAAAGGTATATATGATTAAGTGTTATTGTCATGACATGAGTCTAGAACGAAAGTTGCATAGTCGAATGGACTTGGGGGGAGGGATAGTATAACAATGAAAGAATTTTACTTTTCAAAGAGAAGAACGAACTGGAGGGGAGGGCTGGGCAGGGAGAAAAGTGCAACAATGAATGAATGGAAATCCAAAATCTCTGTAAATTTTCATTAAAATTAATAATAAAAAGGGGGAAAAAGAGTGAGATGATTTACTCTTGTCTCTATGAATGCTGATCCGTTCTTTTTCATTTGTATTTCTCCCTCCCCCCATTTGTACTTTTTCAGTCTGGCCTTTTGGTGGTCTTTAGCCAGAATTCAATTCTTCTATCCCTCCTTAGACATTGTCCAGCTCTCTGATGTAAAGCAAGTGATTGGAAAGACCATAGCCTGTATCAGGCTCACCTTAGTTATGTTGAAAAGAGGGACCAGTCCTTGGCGAAGGACATCATGCTTGGGAGAGTGGAGGGACAGCACAGGAGAGAATGACCCTCTATGAGGTGTATTGGGGTAATAGGGGTAGATGTGTTGGAGTCAGTGAGATTGGCACAGGACAGAGCAGGGTTCAGGGCTGTTGTACATAGGGTCGCGATGAGTTGCAGGCAACATGATGGCACATAACAACAACCACAAGCCAGAATTGGAGAGACAACTCTGCGTGTTCTGAATTCCAGCTTTGTCTTTTTTCAGCACTGTGAGATTGTCAGAAGCACTCATCAGCTTCCTATCTTCCTCTGTCAGGACTGTCAGAAATCTGGAGTTCCAGAAATGCTCTAATTACAGTTTGTCTCTCCCAAGGTGTCCTTCTCATGCATTCTGTGCTTGCCTTCTAGCTTTCTGATGTCTTGAAACAAATTAAAATTTTTTAACATGCTTTTTTTTATAGTAGTACTTGGCTTCCTGTTACTAGAAAATGAACTCTCGTGTAGGCTTCAACTTTTACTTTTGCACTGTGTTCTTTGTCTCTTCCAGGTTTCAAGCTAGTCTATCTTGTTAACAAGTACTGTTTTAAGATAGAAATTGTTTTTGAAAACCATACTTTTTCACAATTAATAGATTGTAGATTTCTTTTGTTATGCTAACTAAAATTCTAGTGATTTTTGATACAGTAGATGTTAGCATTTTATGTGTTATATCCTAGTCTTATAAAAAGTAAGCTTTATAAGATATTTTATTTTTATTTTTATAAAATATTTTTCCTTTTTTATTAATTTAGTGAAAGTTTACAGAGACTTAGGGTTTCCAGTCATTCATTGTTGCACTTTTCTCCATGCCCACCTCTTCCTTCCAATTCACTCTTCTTGAAAAGTAAAAGAAAAATTCTTTTCTTTTAAAGAGTTCTCTCCCTCATCTGTTTCAATACAGTATACATCATTCCTCCCCTTCTTCTCTGCCTCCCCTCAACCCCCGTGTTAGTCCCGTTTTACAACAGTGGCCCAATACAATATTTGTCCTTTTTGTGACTGAGTTATTTCACTCAGCATAATGTCCTCCAGGGTTATCCATTTTGCATAATATTTCATGGGTTCCTTTGTTTTCAGTGCTGCATAGTATTTAATTGTCTGAATATAACAGAGCTACTCTATCCATTTGTGTGTTGATACACACTTGGGTTGTTTCCAACTCTTTGCTATTGCTTACAAAGCCGCAGTAAACATGAGTGTGCCTGTATCTGCTTGGGTGGCAGTTGTGGTTTCGTTAGGGTAAATTCCCAGTAGTGGAATTGCTGGGTCAAATGGTGTTTCTATTTGCAACTTTTTGAGAAAGTGTCATAAGCCTTCCAGTGTGGTTGCACCATTGTACACTCCCACAAACAGTGAATAAGGGTTCCAGTTTCTCCACAGCCTCGCCAGCATTTGATGTTTGCTCTTTAGTTAAATTTTACTATTCTTACCAGGATGAGATGATATAGTTGTTTTCTAAAAATATTTTTAGAACATTAACTAAACTCTAAATAACTGGCTTGATTTTTTTTTTAATAAGATGCTGTGTCCTTTGGAGTATGTAATAACACTTGCCGTTCTCTTAAAATTTTTTAATATTATGCAGAAAAAATCAAACATGTACATACCTTAAAAGATTACTTAAATTTCAAAGAACAAGATGGAAATTGAAAAAAATATAGTATAGTGGCAACAGTATATAAAACCTTTTGCACTGAGGGGAGGGGAGAGGGAAGGACAAATCTGAGTGATGTTTTTCCAATTTTCTTATAAGAAATAAGTGCTAATTAATATTTACTTCTTTTTGTTTATGTGTGTGTACCGTCAAATTAGATCTGACTGGTACAGGAGGAGATTGCTTCTCCTTCTCCAGCATAGTGTCTGGTGGCTTCGAACCGTGTGCCTTCGAGCGGAGCTTCTTGCCCACCAGAGTTCCCTCTAATACTTACTTCTTAAAGATTGTCTCTTTATAGTAGTTAATTGGTACATGAGGTCTGTTCACATTGTCGGTGGAAAAAAATACTTCTAAAAAATCTTGGAGGTATTTGAAAAATAAATATTGTTTACATTTAGGTTGACAATACATATCCTTTAATGATCATTTTGAGTACATGAGCATACATATGACTTATCATTCATATGTAATAAAAGTGTGCCTGCTTGTTTTTTGCCACAGAAATTTATCTAATGTGGAAGAAATTGGGACTTGCTCTTATATCAATCATGTTATCACCATAACAACATTCTATGTACAGCAAGTAGGTGTGAACCATTATTCTTATGCTTTGTTTTCATTATGTTCAATGAAGTGGGATAAATTCAGTGATAATAAATGAGAAAAATATGAAAATTATCATGAGATGCTATATATGTATAGACATACACCTTGTTTATGTATAAACAGTTGGTTAATTTTTTTACATTGATGCAAAATTAAGCGTTTTAGAAATGACTTTTAAAAATAATGCACCGTAAAAAAAAAATAATCCACTGTGTCATAGTATATATTTATTTCTCACACACTGACAGTTTGGAAACCACTAGAGTTCCCTACTGAAAGCACGGTGTTTTTTGAAGAACATCCAGTTTTTAAGTCTTTTCTAGAAAGGTTTTATAATTCATAAAACTATATGTATCTTTAGGCTAAAAGAGACTATTAAACTTACTTGAAAGAAAATGATAAATCATTTGATACGAGTGAAATAGATGATGTATTAATGGTTTGGGTAGGTAGATACTCCGCATATATGTGGATTAATCTTTTTCATTAATCTCTTATTAAAAATTTGCTCTCAGTTGAAAAGCAAAAAAAAGGAAAAGGAAATGGCTGATCATACATCAATTGAAGAGTTTGTAATCCATGCATTGGCATTTTGTGAAAGTTTATATGATCCGTATCGGAACTGGAGACATAGAATTTCAGGGTATGTTTAATAAATCACAATTATTCTTTTACTTTTTCATTGTTGTACATTTTCTTTTCCTCCTCCCCCTTTTCTTACCCCAGCCCACCCTGCAACACACTCCTTGTTTTAAATTGTTGTCATACATGCAATATTTGTATAGTATTTTAAATGTGGTGATGATAGGATGTATATCGCTTAAAACAGCTCTTGTATTTTATGAAAGCAATTAGAAAACTGCGTTTATAATCACAAATATAAGAAATGTAAAATGGTTAAGTAGGAATAAAATAGATAAAGATATTTACCCCTTTAAGGACACTCACTGATGGTGTAATCTGTTGGGAGTTAATACAGGTAAGCCCCAAGGTGCCATCTGTGTAATGAGATGAATTCACCAGCAATTTGATGGGGAAAAGATGGGCAATCTTCTCCCATAAAATTTACAACTGAATTGGTTCCTACTTGATGGCAGTATTTTTGTATTGACATGACAAGAAAGCATACACACACACACAGACGCACACTCACATCTAAATTAAGTAGACGATAATGAACTTAGAAAACTCACATGAAAATATAGATTTTGAAGTCCTTTCTTCTGAAACAAGTGGATATCTATTGATAGCTGTTACATGTTTTCCCTAGATATCATCAGATAATAATGGTATATTCAAATACCCATATTCTGTCCTAACATTTTTAGTTCTAGTAACCTTTTGAAACCATATAATCTAGATTAGTTAAAAACTGTATGTCACTCATAGTAATGTTTTTTCTTTATGTTACCATGCTTTATTTTCACCACAAACATAATGAGAATTGTCTCCTTAGCTTCTGTTCCTTGGTGCCTTGGTGATCTTTATGTGACATTGCATCTGATTGCCCCATCTCTGTTTTTTTTATTTGGTTAAGTCTGCTCTTTTATATCTCAGTAGAGATTGATTTAAAATACACCCTATAGTAATAATGTCTAATTAACATAACAAAACTCATTCCAGAATGGAATTGTAGCCACAGTTATATTGGTAAAGTTCACAACACAAGTTTTGGCAAGACACAAATCAATTCACAAATTGTAGAAGAACATTTTTATTATGTAAATCAGATGAAGATGTTCATTATTGTAATTTATATCACTAAGTGTTAGATGTAACCAATATACTAGGTAATAGTATACTTTGCAATAAATGCACAAAATAAAAATTCCATTGAGAAATCGAAGTTCTTATAGATACCATTTTTTTAGAGTAGTACAAGTCTACAGATAATTATACAGAAATTAGAGTTCTGTTGTGTGTTTTATCCCCCTACATACTATTTCTCCCATTAGTAACATTTTCCATTCATGTCATGCATTTTTTACAAATAAGACTGATACATAATTACTAAAGTACATAGTTTATGTTAGAATTCACTTTTTGTTTTGAAGAGTCCTTTTTTTGTGGTTGTGGTTGTCATTGGTTCATTATGATGTTTGGTATATGTGTTATACCATGTGTCTAATACTGGGATATTGTACAGAATAATTTTTGTTGTTTTATTGTGTAGGACAGCACAACTTGCCTGATGTTTGCTAGGTTGTGACATTTATGGAAGCAGATTGTTAGGTGTTTTTTCCTGATGAACCAGTGGGTGGGCTTGAAACTAACCTGGGCTTTTTACAATAGTTTTAGTGTCCACTAAATAATTTTTCAGTTTTGTAACATGAATTTTTCTACCACATGACTGAATATTTATTTGAAACTTTATTAAATGTATTGTTGTAAAGAGAGAACTCTTTCATATTGGTCTTAATGAAATATTAGAATTCAATGATCTAGGATTTTATGTTTAACGTTAACATATGACTAAGTCTGTGATTTTCTTTTTTAAAAATTTTCCACTGATCCTGCCTTGAAAATATCATAATGATAGCAGCCTTCTTTTGCTACTTCCTGTATCCCTAATATGCATCTAAGATTCATTTTCTTTGAAAGGTTTTTAGTGAACCAATGAGATTGTCATTGAAACTATTGACATTGCCAATAAAAAAAGAGTTTCAAAGTCCCAGCCTATACTAGATCTGTATCCATAAGACAAAAAACGCTAAATGATTCTGAATTTATGTATGTCAGAAAGGATCATTTGCCAGATTTCAGTTACACTATTGTAATACATATTTAATTAGATGTCAGAATACTAATGAATGTGTTCATTTACTGATTGTAAAATTTAAGGGCTAATTCCTTGCTATTTGGGGATTTCACTTCCTGACAATACTTGACTTAAACAACTAAAAACCATTTCTTTATTCAAAAGAAGAAATCTTTTAATTGGTAAACATTTAGGAAGTCAGGGAAATACATTTTTCTGTACACAAGTCAAGATTAAAAAATTAAATTGTCTTATAATTGCTTTTATAACTAAGCTATTTCTGTTAGTTTATGTTCTAATTTGTTAATTTCTTTTTACCTATAGGCGAATCCTTAGTACTGTGGAAAAGAGCAGACAGAAATATAAACCAGCTTCTCTCACAGTAGAGTTTGTCCCCTTCTTTTATCGTAAGTAATACTTTTAGTTTCTCTTAGTTTGATTTTAATCTACTCTTTTGTTCTTCCTCTTGTTCTGACCTTGATTTATCTTTGTGAATAAGTGATATAGATTGTAAGTGCCTGTCACTAGAGTACTTGATAAGATTTTTTATTATTCTTGTTTAATTTCCTGCTCTCTTTCTTTTGAAAAAAAAACTGAATGTTTCAATGACAATAGTATATTTTAAAAATTTCATGAAAATGGAATGCCTGGAGCAGGTCATTATATATGACCATATGAGCCATAGTTTTCTTATTTAAAAATATTGTCATGCCGTATTTTAAGAATACAGAAATCTATACACAACATAAAAGGGACATATTTTAAAAAGTATATATTTCTCACCCATATTTGCCAGATGTTAAGATTTTGCTCTATTTGCTTCAGTTTTTTGTTTGTTTCCTAAGACAGACAAAAATCAGTCCATTGATTGCTTGGTGGAAAGTAGCTGTGGTGCCTACTCTTCTTGGTCTCCTGATGGCGTTGACTTCCACTACACAGTCAGGCTCACATATCTACAACATGCCATGCTTGGCATTGTTTTCACATAGAGGATACAGGAGAGGAACCTCAGTATGTCACTAGACATTTAGCATTGTTTCCATTTAGCAGAAGTCTTCGTAACAGTTAAGGCTTTCTTTGGTCCTTTGAGTGAGGGTATAAGACCAGTTTGGTGCATGTGGGAGCCTCTCTGGCATAGAAGTTTTTTAACTCATAAAGGCTATTATATCTTGGCATATGGGCCTAAATTACAAGATAGGACATAATCGTGCAGTCTCACCAATTACGCATTCATGTTCTTTCTGTCTACATTAAGGGGCATTACTAAGCACTGTTGCTTTTTAGATTTCCAATGAAATAATTCTAGGTCTATTTCCCATTTTGTTTCATATGCCATTGTGTTGCTTCTGACTTACAGGAACTTTAGCAAAGAGTAGAGCTTCCCCATGGCTTTTCCCTGTTGCAGTGTTGTTATGTGATTTTGAGTCTCTTGTGACTCATAGCGACCCTTTGTACAGCAGCCCTGAAACCTGCTCTGTCCTGTGCCAACTTTACTGTCTAACACACCTATGCTCATTTCCCTAGGCTGTAATTTCTATGAAATGGAGGCCTGATAGTGTAGTTGTTAAATGCTTGGCTGCCTTTTTTTTTTTGTTAATTTAGTTACTTTTTTTATGTTATATTCCTAGTAATAACGTTGCTTGATCAAATGGTTACTTCCATTTCCAACTTTTTAAGGAGACACCATACCATTTTTCACAGTGGTTGCACCGTTATATTGACCATCCCTTTCATGCGTGTTCCTATCTCTCCACAGCCTCCACATTTGTTTTCAGTCTTACTGATACTCACTGGGATGAGTTGGTATCTCGTTGTGTAGATTTACATCTTATGGCTAGTGATTGAGAACATTTAATAATACATTTATTGTTACCTGAATGTTGTTTCTGTTGAAATGTCTGTTCATGTCTTCTATCCATTTTTAATATATTTGCCTTTTTTTGATGTTTAGGCATGAAAGCTTTCTATAAATTTCAGAGATTAGTGTTTTTTCTGATCTATTTATTTCCAAAATATTTCCCCTCAATCTTTCAGTTGTTTTTTTCTCTCTTTGATCCATATAAAATTTTAATTTTTGAAAGGTCACATAAACCTCATTGGAAAACAAGGAACTCATGAATTATTATACAAAATAGGTGACCCTGGAGGACATTATGCTGAGTAAAATATCTCAGTCATTAAAGGACGAATATGGCATAATGCCACTGTTAGAGAACAGGACTGGCATGGGGACTAGGAGGAAACTAAGAAAAGAGGGGATAAATAATTTACATGGCATTGAAAGAGACGAGGGAGAGAACTGTATAAAAGGAATATATGATTAGCTATTATTGGCATGACAAGAGTTCAGAATAAGAGCTGAATAGTAAAGTGGTCTGGGAGTGGGTATGGACTGTGTAACAATGAAAGAACTTCTTTCCCCCCCCCAAAATAAAAACAATCTGGTGGGGATGGGAGGGAGGAAAATGCCCAACAATGAACTGTTGGAAACCCAAGTTTTTGATATACTTTCATTAAAATCTCAATTTAAAAAAAGAAAAGAGAGGTCACATAAACCTAGTTTGTCCTCTACTATTTTGTTTTTATTATGATTGCTAGTCTATTTATAAAAACTTCCAAAGTTTGCCCCTATTCTTAAACAATCTTTGTGGTTTTGGATTGTACATTTATATCTTTAAGCTTGAGTTAGTTTTTCTGTATTGCTTCATTTATTTGCAAATAGATACCTAGGTTTTCCAACAGCAGTTGTTATTCAAACTGTCTTTTCTTCATTTGATATTTGTGGATCTTTGAGACATATCAGCTGCTCATATGTGGTTAAAGTTACATCTGGTTTCCTGATTCTGTTCATTGATCTATGTTTCTTCCAATGTCCTGAACTCTTTTGACTACCATGGCTGCGTTGTTGTGTGTTGTTAAGTCAGAACCAGTTCATAGCTGACTCTCTGACATGTTTTCATAGATAGCTCATTGCAGGGAAGGAAATTGCCCATTTTTCTCCTGCAGAGCAGCTGGTGGATTTGAACTGCATGCTTTTGGGGGTGCAGTGCAGCTTCCTATCAGTAGTCCACCATAGCTGTATAGTATATCTTAAAATTAAGGTATATAGTACTATTTAATTTTTTTTCCTCAGAAGTGATTTGCTTATCTCAGGGTTTTTCCCTTTCTATATTATTTCTGTTAGGTTCTGTCTATTTGAGAATGAGCAATAGCAGTCCTATGAATATTGGACCTGAACCCTGTTCCATCCTTATCAGACATACTTGAGGCCATTGTTGTAGTCACTGTGTCAGTGCCTTTCATTGAGGGTCTTCCTCTCTATTTTGTTGACCCTCTACCTTTCTAAGCACAATGTCCCTTTCCAAGGAATGACCTCCCTTAATAACATACCCAAAATATATCTGACAAAGTTTTGCCATCCTTTTATCTAAGGAACACTCTGGTTTCACTATCTCCAAGATACACCTGTTTGTTCCTTTGGCAGTCTGTGGGATATTCAGTACTCTTCTACAACACCACAATTCAAAGGTATTGATTCTTTTGTCATCTTTATTCAATGTCTAGCTCTCAGATGCCTAAATGAGACACAGGATAGTCTTTAAGCTGGCATCCCTATTCCTCAGTACTTTGGAGGTGTCCTTGACAGCAGACTTTCCCAATGAAGTCCATCTTTTGATTTCTTGAGGCTTGTTCTGAGAGTGTTGATTGTGGATCTAAGTAAGGGAAAGTCATTGACAACTTCAATCTTTTTCCCCATTTGTCCTGATGTTGACTGTTGGCCCAATGGTGAGAATTTCTGTCTTTTTGAGTTTTAGATGTAATCCAAATTGAAGGCTGTAGTCTTTAATCTTATGTAGCAAGTACTTCATGTCTTCCTGACTATGAGCTAGCAAAATTGTGCCATCGGCATAATGTTGATGAATCTTCCTCTAATCTTGATGCCACATTCTTGTAGAGTTCAGCTTCTTAAATAATTTGCCAGCATATAAATTGAAGACAAGTATAACAGGCTGTAATTGGAGAGTACAAAGGGAAGGATTCATTGGCATTTCTTAAGAAGATGGAGGGAATACACATAGAAACTATACAAAAACAATTCCATTTCAGGAAGTAGCATATGATTAAGAGCCCAGTGGTGATGAAGGAAAAATTTCAAGTTACACTGACGGTATTTGCAAAAAAATAGAGCCCCAGGAATTGAAGAGAGACCAGTTGACATCTCAACTAAGAGATGCGCCTCTGGGTGTGCTCACCAGTCTGTGTCAGAAAATTTGAAAGACAACTACCGGACCAGCTGACTGGAAGAGATCCATATATTGTTATACTTAAGAAAAATGCTTCAACAGAATATGGAAACTATAGAACAATATCATTATTATCATATACAAGCAAAATATTGCTGATGGTCTTCCAAAAAAGCTAGAACAGTACATTGACAGAGAACTACCAGAATTTCAAGCTGGGTTTAGAAGAGGCTGTGACACCAGAGTTGTTATTGTTGAAGTCAGATGGATCTTGGCTGAAAGCAGAGAATACCAGACGAATGTCAATTTGTGTTTTATTGACTATACAAAAAGCATTTCACTGTGTGGACTATAACAGATTATGGCTAACATTGAGAGGAATGGGAATCCCAGAACACTTATATTTGCTTATGCAAAAATTTACATACAAACTAATGGCAACTACATATGTGCAGAGTATATAAGGGCTTTCAAGTGTTAAGGGCTGTTAAGGACTTTCAAGAGTATTAAGGGCTTTCAAGACTGATCTTTTGGAAACTGATCTCCATCCCTTGAGTTTTAGCTTTTGAACTAATAGTGCAGCACTTAACTGTGTGCACCACCCATCCAAGCAGTGCTTGTTACTTTAGTTTTTAGGTTCTGTTGAGCTGGTCATAATGACCCCATATACAAAAAATTGAAAGGTTTCCTGATCTTGTGTCAGCCTGCAATAGTTGCTGTGCTTGAGCTCATTGTTGCAGTTACTTTGTCAGACTGTCTTGTTTAGGGTAACCCTCTTTATGATGATCCCCTCTCCACTGAGCTTGATATCTCTCTCTCAGGAACTGACTGCTCTTGATTACGTGGCCAAAGTTGGTGAGTCAAAAATCTTGTCATCTTGCTTTTAAGGAGCACTCTGGCAACAATTCTTTCAAGACAGATTTGTTTTTTCTTCTGATAGTCCATAATATCTTTAATATTTTTCATTAGTACTACAATTCCAGGGCATTCATTCTAAGACTAGAAATAATCTTACTAATAAAGTTTTATCTTTGAGTGTGCTAATATATGCTAAAAGATACTCAGTATAGAATCATTAACATAAAAAAGGGGAGAAACTATAAAAAAATATTAGTAGTTATCATGTCTTGTCCAGTTGAAACTGACCCATAGCTGACCATCCAGCAGATTTTAGTGGTAGCAAATTGTACATGAGGAGACGGCCCTTTTTTCGCCCACAGAGCAGCTAATGGATTTAAATTGCTTGCCCTTGGGATTGCAGTGCAGCTTTTTATCATGGCAAAATCATAAAAATTTTCAGTAGAGGCTTGTTTGAGTAAAGTTATATTAAACTAGAAATTTGCTGTCCAAAATGAATAAGACAGATGCTTATGTTAAAATGTAATAACATCCAGGATTTATTAAGTTAAAAACAAAAACAAAATGAAGTATATAGCTTTTTCTTTTCATTCTTTGTTTTTTAAAGAGAGAGAAGAACCTGCTAGACTAGAAAATAGACTGTAAGGAGATTTTCTTGTTAGTATTTAATTTATCATCTTAAATTTTTTCTGGTCATGTATATTAATAACTTTTTAAAGATAAGAAAATTACAGTGCTAAAGAAAAGCTATTAGAATTTTGGAATATAAGCACTGACGAAGACAAGACCCAGGAAATATGTTTCTCCAGCTCTTTAATTGTGTAGTTGACTAAACTGAGGCTCAGAGGCAATTGTAATTGTTGCTATTGTGTACTGTCCAGTCAGAGCTGACCCTCCAGTGGGTTTTCAGAGTCAGTAAATTCCACCAGAGTTGACAGCCCATCTTTCCCTCCCGAAACTGGTGGATTTGAACCTTATGACTTCAGTTTGACAGCACAGCTCCTTAGAACTAAGCAACTAAAGCTCCCTCAGAGGTGGTAATAGTAGTAGAAATATATCCAATTTTATGTCAAGTTTGAGTTGTTCCCTACCTCTGCCACTTAATAACCACAATACCTTAAGCAAAATAGTAACTTCTGGCATTCTAATTTCTCATTGATAAATGTGAGTAAGATATTATAAGAAGGACCTAAGGAAGATGATAACAGAAATTGTACTAAAAATTCTATTTGATAGATATGTATGATATTTTCCTTTCCTACTAAAAAAAGAAGACAAAATGTGTCTTTTGACAGATTCTGTCCTCTCTCAAATAGATCTCCATGTCAAAAATTTTTTAGGGAGAAATATACTGTAAAAGAGAAATCTTACTTATATATTTGTTTTTTATATTCACAGAATGTTTTCAGGAAAGTGAACATCTCAAGGAAAGTCTTAAGTGTTGCTTATTGCATCTCTTTGGAGCTATTGTAGCTGGTGGGCAGGTGAGGAAAGTTAAGTTATAAATAACAGTTAACAGTGAAAAGAACTTAATTAATTTAGCTCTTCATGTAATTGTATGAACCATACAAAGAGTTTTCTAATTTTTCATTTTATTTAAAATTCACCTACTTACTTAGTTTTTTGTTTTATTAATTTACAAAAAAAACTGTAGTTCATATTATTGTTGTTGTGTTGGTGTACCTTCAAGTTGGATCTGACCCATAGCTGGCCCTTCAGCCGGTTTTCAGAGCCTATCCTTCTCTTTGCGGAACTTCTACTCGATTCTACCTGCACACCTTTGGGATTGCAGCTCAGCTTTTTGCCGCGAGGCCATTAACAAGAAAATTTTTGCATAAGCAGTCAGATTTGATGTCTTTTGTTGGTTTTTTGTGACCATTTTGGGAGTTTTCAAGTAACAGTGTGTAGGTCATCTTTTAGGGGTGGAAGTGTTGGCTTTTAGCTTCTAATTCTTTAGAATATAGAAGTAGTCACCTGTAATAGTCCATTTGATTATATCAAACTCTAACAATTTTATTTCCAGAGACATACTAATTTAGTCACTCTTCTGTTTAATTTTCATTACTTAATTATAAACATTTTCTATCCAATCTAGTATTTTATTTTAAAAAATCTGGTTACTTTGTGGTTGGTATTTTGTTGTCATTTTCTTTTTTGGTACTCTAAATTGAGCAACTTATGTGTTGTTTGTGTTAAATGCTCATTGGGAACAGAATTATTTCAGTGAGGATTGTTCAGTGAAATTCTTCATGTGTTCTTTTTTAAAAAATTTATTTTTCTTTTATTATTTATTTGTGTGTGTATACCGTCAAATCGGATCTGACTGGTACAGGAGGAGATTGCTCCTCCTTCTACAGCAGAGTATCTGGTGGATTTGAACTGTATACTTCTGGGATTGCAGAAGAGTGCGCCTTCTTGCCACTAGGGCACTAGAGCTCTTTTATTCATGTATTCTTAATGCCACAAAGTTTAGGTCAGAGGTTCTTAACACCTTTTGTACCACAAAGTCCTTTGATAGTTTCATAAAGCCCTTACCAGAATGTTTTTAAAGGCATAAAGTGAAATAAAAAAGTAAACCAATTATACTGAAATGCACTTCTCAAAATATTATTAAGGTAAATTTATGACCTAGTGATAACTCATTGTTTTAACATTAAATTAAAAGTGCTAGTAGCATGTCTAATAACTAATGCAATTGCAAAGAATAAAAAAAATATAAGCCATATTCTAAAGTATTGCATCAACTAACAGGACTGCTAATTGTATTGTGGTTCATTCATTATGTTTAAAATTGAAGAAAATACAAATTTCAGTCAGGGATTAGTGTAAATAAACATAATTTTTTCTAATCTACTTTGACACATTAGAGTTCTGTAGAGAACTGTTACAGCAGTAGAAAGAACCAGTAAATTTATACTTATTTTATATTTTATTTATTATTTCTTAGAGATCTGAGAGTTTAATCTTTATTTTTCAAATGAACTTCACAAACTTTACATATATGATATAATTTTATTTAATGTGCATAATTTAAAAATATTTTCTTGAGCCATTAATCTAGTGAATATCATTCCTTATGAGGTTGAATCAGCTGGTACGCAGCAGCTTCCTCCTCTGTCTTTTTTTTTTGCTACCATTTTTTCAAGGAATAGCCCTTGAGATCAATAGACACCTCCCCCCTTTATTATTTTTATTCTCTCTTACACTGTTGTGTGCTGCTGAGTCAAAACCAACTGTTAGCTGACTCTCCAGCAGGTTTTTGGACCCTATCAGTCTCACAGGAGGAGATTGCCCATTCTTCTCCCAAGAAGCAGCTGGTAAATTTGAACACTCTGTGTGGGTTGGCAGTGTATCGCTTTAGCTGTAGGCCACCGGCACTTAATATGCTATCATTGAGTGCTCTTAGGCTTGTTGTTGTATGTTGGTGGGTTGGAGCTGACTCACAGACAACCCTCCCATGGGCGCTTTTGAGCCTGTCAGTGGCACAGTAGGAGATTGCCTTTTCTTTTTCCCAGCTCTTACCTTATTGATAATCATCATAGTATTTTGCAGAGCACTACCGACATTCTCTTTTCTTGTTTTTGTAACTATACATTTTGCTAGATTCTCTGCTTGGGTTTCTTGGTGGACTACCTTGCCTTCTTTTAATTCCTGGTGGAGAATAAGAATTTTCCTAAAGTGTTGTTGTTAGTGTCACAGGGTTGCTGCCATGACCCTGTGGACAGCATATCTGAACTTTCACCTGTCCTGCACCATCCTCACAATCTCTGCCATGTCCAAGGCCATTGTGGCAGTCACTCAAGTGAGAGAATTGTTAAACAGGATTGTATATTATAACTTAAACTTGCTTAGTAGTATTCCTGTATTAGCTGGTACCTTTCTTTTGAGTCATTATTTGCCATTTCTGTTATTTCTCCATTAACTGTGAATGAGAATCCTTTTTTATAATACGGAGTTAGTAACACAGACTTATTATGAGAACTAAGTAACCTGCATATAAAAGAACCTGCAGAACTAACTAAATCATTACTTATACTAGAATTAAGATTCACTGTAAAAATTAATGAATACAGGGGTGGGGGGGAGGGCTGGGCAGGGAGAAAAGTGCAACAATGAATGAATGAAAATCCAAAATCTCTGTAAATGTTCATTAAAATTATTAAAATAAAATTTTAAAAAATTTTAAATAAAGAATTAGTGACTACTAGAATTTTAACAGTTTAAATTAGAATTTTCTCTCTAATTAAAAATATAAAGAAGAAAAATAAAAATGTAAATGTTTTAACAGCCAACTGTTAATGTGCCTATTATTTTTTGAAAAGGTGCTAAAAAGCTGACATACATTGTTTGATGTATGCTATTTGCCTAATTCAGTCATACTACTACAAAGAAAGCAAATATTTCCAGAGAAAAATTTGATAAAACTTACTATACAATCCTCCTTAGCAGTAGAGGAGGCTAAGAAAAGTATTCTTTATTCCAAGTAGCCATGTGTCCATCAAAAACATGAGGTTTTATTAATAAAGAAGCAGGGGAAAATGGATAGTGATGGATCATTAGCAGTTTCTTTCATCATGTCACATGGTATTACTGAAATTATTTACTATATTGATTATTACTGATAATATTCCTGTTGACTTAAGTGACTTTCAGATAATTTTGTAAAATTCTGTTTTAGTTAATGTCATAAATGTAAAGTTTAGGACAATATAGAATTTTTATTTCTAACTTTTATGGGCTAACTAGTTGTAGCTACACATTTTTTTAATGTACAAAATTTGAAATGTGTTTGAAGAATGATATAGCTTATATCTATGTCACTTCGAATGTAGTCAGTTAACACTTGACAATCAGAAGCTTAACTGATTTTATTTATTTTATTTTATTCTTGCATAGGAAATCCAGATAACAACCATTTCTGGACTAGCACTGCAGCTTTAAAGTTAACCTAGGGTCCTCTGGTATTCAGGTTCTGTTCTCTGTAACCTGTTACTTTGATTTTTGTCTTCATCTGTTCATGGTGGAAGAATGACTCTTTAATTTCTGCATTTCATGCATGAAGAAGACCCAAGGACACATGATTTGTAAAGTGATAATCTCTCCATAGTCTATATTGCCAAATAATCCTTGTCCAGAACAGTGTCAAATGATTACCCTTAGATGTAAGATTAGAAAGTGTGTTCTGTTTAGGACAAAGGGAAAATGAAGAGCTGTGTTTGTGAGAAGGGGAAAGTTTAATGTGTATAATGCAGCAGTACTCTGCCAGAATATTTAAAATATTCTTGATTTTTCTTTAAATTTTATTTTGCATGTGTGTGTGTGTACCATCAAATCAGATCTGACAGGTACAGGAGGAAATTGCTCCTCCTTTTCCAGGAGAGCATCTGGTGGATTCAAACAGCATACCTCTAGGATTACAGTGCAGCTTCTTGCCACTAAACCACCAGAGCTCCCTAAATATAGCTTGATTTTTCTAAAAAAAATACTTTGCAAATTTTTGAAATTCTCTGTGTGATTGGAAACATGCAGAGAGCTTCAGTTAGGAGTTTTATTTTCTTTGTCTCTAATATTTCAGAAGAATGCTTTGCAAGCAATTTCTCCAGCCACCATGGAAGTTCTTATGCGTGTTTTGGCAGATTGTGATTCTTGGGAGGATGGAGATCCTGAAGAAGTGGGAAGGAAAGTAGAACTAACTCTAAAGTGCCTTACAGAAGTGGTACATATCCTTCTGAATAGCAGCTCTGATCAACGTCAAGTGGAAACCAGTACTATTCTGGAGAACTATTTTAAATTGTTAAATTCAGATCATTCAGCTTTACCTAATCAGCGGAGGTCCAGGCAGTGGGAAGTGCGGTTCATAGCACTCCAAATCAAGATGCTGAGTAAGTATTAAACAAATGCCATTTTCTGAGGTGTTTTTTTTCTCCTTTGATATTCATTTCCTTTTGCAATTCAAGACAATTGAATAGAAACAACATTTGATTCAAATATCCTGTAACTTGTTTTAGAATTTTTGACACAAATTTAATTCGTTTGTCTTGGTTTTAAGAGTGACAAAGCTGAGCCTCTGTAGTTTATTTATTTATTTATTTTATTTTTTTATTGTGGTAAAAGATATAACAAAAAAAATTTACTGATTCTTTAAAGGATAACCCTTGTTAAAAACAGTCAGCTTTGATTTGCAAAGTTTAGGAAAACGAAATTTTTAGAAAATGCATTTTGTAGTTTTTAACTCAGCAAATCAGTTTTGTGTGTGCTAATACAACTTCTGTAGAAACTTGCTAACATTTCTCTTTCCTCTAGAGGGCCACCTCCTGTGTGAACCCTCTCTGTATCTTTGTTTTTCTTTCTTCTTTTTGTGCTGATTGATTGGAGTTATTCTGTTCTATATGTTTGTCTTTGCTCTGTAAACCTTCTCAACAGTACAAATAATTGCTTAGTGTATTCTTTTCTTTCACAGATATTATTAACTGATACTTCTTTATTATACAAAGAAAATATGTTCCAAAACCAAACTCAATCCACTGTCATGAGTTGATTTCAGCTCACAACATCCCTGTGAAGTAGAACTTCCCCATGGGCTTTCCAAGACTGTAAATCCTTACAAAACAGGCTGCTATGTCTTTCTCTTGCAAAGTGGTCTTTCAGCCTTTCCCTGGATTGATGATTCACTTGCCACCAGGGCCCCTTCCATGTGTGCATTAAAGCTAAATTGGGAAATTCAGATAATTAATAAGTAAATAAATGTTCTTTATATCCTACCTTTAGACATAGGGAGTTCTCTGGCATAGTCCAAAGGAAGTTGTACCGCCAAACCATGGCAGATCCTCTGCAGCTCAAGTCTACCAGTGGCTCCATGGGACAAAGATGAGCACTCTTCTCTTGTGCAGTTTATAGCATTGAAAGACTGTTAAAGGTTCAGCTAAAACTCAGTTCTGACTCTGCTGCAGTGAGTTTCAGTCTTGAGTATTGTTGTTGCTGTGTACTATCAACTTAAGTACAACTCATATTGACCCTGTGAACAGCAGATTTAAATCCTGTCCTAGTCTGCACCATTCTCATCATCTCTGACATAATTGAAACCATTGCTGTAGTCACAGTGTCAGTCCAGCTCATTGGGGTTCTTTCTGTCTTTCTCTAAACTTCAACCTTTCCAAACATGGTGTGCTTTTCCAAGTAATATCCTCTTCTAGAAACATGCCCAAATATATGACATAAAACTTCAAATACATGAGATGGATCCTTCCATTCAAGGAGCACTCCGCACCTTCTCCAAGACATACCTATTTGTTCTTTTGTCAAGTTTTGGGATGGTCCATATTTTCTGACAACACTGAAACTCAGAGGCATCAATTGTTCTTCTAGCGTCCTTACTCTTTATGCAGTTGTAAGACACATAGCAAGTGATTGAAAAGACCATGGTTTGAATCAGGTGCACCTTAGTCTTCAAACTAACATTATTGCTCCTCAGTTCTTTTGAAGAGATCCTTGACTTCTGGTGAAAGCGTGTTGCTTGTGGATCCCAGTAAGTTGAAATCATGGACAATTTAAATTCTTTCAACGTCAGTCATATTTCCTGTTGGTCCAGTGGTGAAGATTTTTGTTTGCTTGATGTTGAGATGTAACACATGTTGAAGGTTGTAGTCTTTGATCTTTAGCAAGCATTTGAAGCCATTTTCTTTTCAGCAAGCAAGGTTATGTCATCTACGTAGTACAGGTTCTTGATGAGTCATCTTCCTATCTTGATGTCACATATTTTTTCTTAGAGTCCCAACTTCTCAAAGTATTTGTTGAGACTACACATTGAATAGGTATAGAGAAAGGATACATCCCTGATGCACACCTTTCTTGATTTTAAACCACTCAGTGATCCCCTGGCTCTGTTCTCACAATGACTTTTGAGACTTGGTTTAGTCGTTGACTGCGTGTAATTAAATGTTCTGGGATTCCCATTCTTCTTAACGTTAACCATAGTTTGTTATGATCCATATAATCAAATGGCTTTGAGTAGTCAATAAAATATCATTAAACATTCTTTCTGGGTATTCTGTGCTTTCTGCCAAGATCCATCTGACATCAGCAATGATATCCCTGGTGCCACAACTTCTTCTATTCTCAGCTTGAGCTTCTTGCAGTTCTGTGTTAGCATTTTTAAATGATCTTCAGCAGAATTTTGCTTGCATGTGATACTGATGTTTTAATAATTGGACTGCTTTTTGAAAATGGAAACAAATATGGATCATTTCCAGTCAGTTGACAAGGTAGTTGTCTTCCAAATTTCTTGGCAGAGACTGGTGAACACATCTAGGACTACATCTGTTAGTTAAAACATGTCAGTTGAAGAAAAAAAAATTGTCAGTTGGTATTCCATCGATTCCTGTGTCCTTACCTTTTGCCAGTGTCTTCAATGCAGCTTGAAATTCTTCATTACCATTGGCTCTTTATTATATAGTGCTTCATGAAATATTTAAATATTCACCAATTCTTTTTGGTACAGTGACTCTGTATTTCTTTCATCATATGTTTCCTGGATCATTAAAGATTTTACCCATTATATTTCTAAGAATTCCAATTCAAGGCTTGAATTTATTTTTCACTTCTCCCATCTTTAGAAATCCTGAGTGAGTTCTTCCCTTTTTATTCTCTATATCAATAGTTTGGGCTGGAAACTTTTAGAAATATTTTTATATGTTGGTGTGTGTGAAGTTAACAATTACTGAACATCATAATCTTGGCCAGAAATGTAATGTGTCATAACATGATTTTTATAGAAGAAAAATTTAAATGATTTTGTTTATATAATTTAAGGAGCTCCAGTGGCATAGAAAAATGTTATGTGTTGGCCTGCTAACCCAAAGTGTGGCAATTCAAATCAACCAGCTGCTGCCTGAAGAACAGTGGGACAGTCTAATAGTAAATAATAGTAATTAGTTACATAATGTAATAGAATTCATTTGGAAGGAGGAGTGGCATCCTCTTCCGTAATAGCTTGCCTCCAGAAACCCTGTGAACCTGGAGAAAGGATGAAAGGCACCCAAGCATCTAGGACTGTCCTTCATAAGGTCGCTATGAGTTGCCTGCGACTCGACAGCACTTAACAACAACAACAACAACAGTATAATTAATAGTTGTTGTTGTTGTTACCTGCTATCGAGTTGCCTGCAACTCATAATGACTCTATTATACAACAGCCCTAAACTGTGCTCTATCCTGTGCCAATCTTTTGTCTCTGACACACCCACCCCCATTACACCAGTCACTGAATCAGTCCATCTCATCAAGGGTCTTCCTCTCTTATGCTGTCTCTCCACCCTTCCAAGCATGATGTCCCTCTGCAAAGAGTGGTCCCTCCTTGCAACATATCCAAAGTAGGTCAGATGAAGCTTCAGAATACTTGCCTCCAAGGAGCAGCCTGGTTTCACACTCTCTATGGTGAACCTGTTTGTTCTCTTAGCGGTCCATGGCATCAGTTCTTCTGTCATCCCTAATCATTGTTCAACTCTCTGATAATATAGCAAGTAATTGCAAAGACTGGAGCCTGGATCAGGTGCACGTTAGTCTCCAGACTGACCTGTTAATATTTGTAGCTTGAATAACTGATGGAAAGTCATCATCAGTCAGAATTTATTTGAAGGCAGTGAGTTTAGGATATGTAATTTATATATAATAATATGGATTGAGGCTCAAGGTCAAGAAGACAAAGATTCTCACCACTGGACCAATTGGCAGCATCAGGATGGATGGTGAAGAGATTGAGATTGCACACAGCTTTAGTTTGCTTGGCTCCATAGTCAACAGTCTTGGCACCAGGAGCCAGGAAATTAAAAGGCGCATTGCCATGGGAAAGTCTGCTGTTAGGGACCTCTCCAAAGTACTGAAGAGCAATGGTGTCTCTCTGGAGACCAAGGTGCGTCTGATACAGGCCATGGTCTTCACAATCACCTGTTATGCATCAGAGAGTTGGACAGTGACCAAGGAGGATAGAAGGAGAATTGATGCCTTTGAGCTGTGGTGCTGGAGAAGAATATTGAGAATACCATGGACTGCTAGGAAAACAAATAGATTTGTCCTGAAAAGGGTTAAACTGGGTGGCTCCTTGGAGGCAAGGATTCTTAGGCTCCATCTAACATACTTCGGACATGTTGTGAGGAGAGACCGGTCCTTAGAGAGGGACATCATGCTTGGGAGGATGGAGGGACAGCGCAGGAGAGGAAGGCCCTCTATGAGGTGGATTGATTCAGTGACTGGGATAATTGGGATGGGAGTGTCAGAGACAGTGCGATCGGCCCAGGACAGAGCGGAGTTTAGGGCTGTTGTACATAGGGTCACTATGAGTCGCAAGCGACTCGGCGGCACATAACAACAACAACAAGTTAATAACTTTGTATGTAAGTTTGTGTCTGTACTAAATAGACTTATTTTTTGTTAACAATTTTGGTATTGCCCATTCCAGTAATTCTTGATTTTTGGATAAGGCTATCTTTTATTTTGAAAAATGATAGCAAAACGTTATTACTCTGTGCTAATTATGTAAGAGCATATTCATAATGGCTAGATGTTAACTTTATAATACATAAATGACACTGTTGTCAAATATATTCAGATACTGCTTATTAATAGCAAGTTGTATACCACTTGCTAAATATACTTAACTGTTAAGACTTACAAATAAATGTCTAGGGAATTTGTACCATTCTTATGTAGAAAATGCTTAATATTTTAAAAATTTGCGCTTGGAAGGGTGGAGGGACAGCACAGGAGACAAAGACCTCAGATGAGATGGATTGATGCAGTAACTGGGGTTGTGAGGGTAGGTGTGTCAGAAACATTGAGATTGGCTCAGGATAGAGCAGGGTTGCAGTTTGTTGTACAGAGGGTTGGTAGGAGTTGTAGGCAACTCCACGGCACATAATGACAACAACAATATAATCAATAAAATACTAAAATGTTCTATTTCAAATCAAGTAAAAGAAGAGATTTTGTTTTCTATTCTTTTCAGTTTACATCTGTTTTGTCACTCCTTATTATGGGGTGGAGTCCAACTCATAGTTTACCTTCCAGTGGATTTTAACTTTGTGAATTCCACGGGAGGAGATTGCCTTTTTTTCTTCAGTGGAGCCATTGGCAGATATGAACTACCAGACATGTGTCATCCTTGGGATAGCTGTGCACCTCCATAAGAAGCTAAAAAGTCTAAATGGAAAATAAGATTAGAGTGTTTGTATGATTCCAGATCTTCAACTATGTGTATAGATGATTTTGGTTTTTTTTTTCCTAGATACCATTACAGCCATGTTAGATTGCACTGATAGACCCGTTCTTCAGGCCATTTTTCTTAACAGTAATTGCTTTGAACATCTCATACGACTACTACAGAACTGCAAGGTAGCTTTTCTGTTATTATTAATTATTGCCTTTGATTTTAAGATGCTCTTATGTTTTGATTCAAATTTTAACATATTAGTAAACTTTTAGAATTAATTTTTTTGTATTCACTTATGTAACCAAGATTTATCTTGAATTAAGCTAGAATTTATAATTGTTGAAATAACTTGAGTGGTAAAAATAGAAGCAAATTTCTTTCAATCGTGAGCATATTAGTTTTGGAAATACTTCATTTTTAGTTTACTCTTATATTTTGGTCAGTAATATTTTTGTAGCCTTTAAACTCATTAGTTAATTCTGATTCCATGGCTAGCTATGTTAATACAATCATGACTTTGGTTCCCTTTCTTTTTCACTTGACATTGAATGAGTTGTGCGTGGTGTTAAAGAGTGTTGGTTTTTTTCCAACATTGTTTTTTATTATTATGCTCATCACCCTTTATTTTATATAACTTTCCCATTATTTTTGTGCCTCTGGAAGAACTTTTATGTGAACTCTTAAGAACAGTTATAAACTTCTGCCTTATTCTGAAATGTGTCTTATGAACTTTTTTAACATAGAATTTTTATTAAAATGCAATCATTACTAAATCAATGGCTTATTTTACTTACAAAACAGAATGAGATGTATTACAAGCTTAGCAATGAAAGAGTGTTTGGTGTGGTTGTTGATTGTCTCATTCTGTACACAGCAAAGACATTTTACCTCTTAGGATTGAACACAATGTCTGTCTGTTGTTAGATGCCTTCCAGTTGTGCTGACTTACAGAGACCCTATGAACAACATATCTATCTTGTGCCATCATCACTATCTCTTACACACTTGACACCATTGTTGCAGTCACTGTGTCAATTCATTTTATCAGGGATCTTCCCCTCTTTTGCTGACCCGTGATCTTTCTAAGCATGAAATAACGTATTAAGGAATAGCCTTTCTTAGCAACATACCCAAAGTATGTGAAATAAACCTTCGTCATTTTTGCCTCCGCAGAGCATTTCCACAGATTATGATAATTCCAAAGTCTAATCAAGTAGCGTGGCAGTCTGTTTGAATAAAGATTTATAGCCTCAGTAATATAGACAGTCTTTTCTGTTCTTCAAGGTCTCTGTGAGTCATAGTCTATTTCGTAGCAACTGATTAGAGTTTGAACATATCTATCAACTAGAAAGAAGGCCACTAATTACTGCTTATACTAGATACTATATTATGGATCTTACCTTTGAAAACACACAACGTATTTTGTGCTTACAATGACCACTTTGTAAGTTAGACAATTTTAGTGGTAGAGTCAGAGCTTCAGTTTAATTCTGTCTGATGTAAAGATTTTGTTCTTAGTGTTTATAGCATATAATGCCTCAAATGAGAATTTGCAGTATTTACTTCAGATTTTTTTCAAACCAAGTAATAATTTGTATAATTAAGTTAAAAATTAATATAAAATGTTAATTTGCTCTCACTTAAGAGAAAGTAATATATTTATTAAAGTAACACAGGCTCATAAAATGCAAGTAGTGATAGCATAGTCTCTAATTTATATTGTTTATTACTTTAAATTATTTTCCTCTTTTCCTAATTTGCTTTTAGTAATTTTCATAATTTCTACTAAATAAAGTATATCTCTATCAATGAAAATATTAAGATAGAACATCAAGCCAATGTAATACATCATTATTTTTAATATTCATCAGAAACACCATTGTCTACTCATTTTCTTGGGAGAAGCTTAGTGGTAATCTAGTTTATCCTCATATCTGCTTTGTTTCATCATTTTCTGACAGTTTTCTTTACATGACTCTCAAATGAAGGCTTTCATTCCCAATGCTACTGCCTTATATCAAGATTTATTTTTTACCCTGATTATTGCCACCATTCTTTCTTTCCACTGAAGCTCAAGCCATCTATTTAAAATGAATGTTGTCATGCCAGTTATTTGCCAAAAATACCATCTTTATTAAATACTTCTAGTGATCTTTAAAAGGAAGCTGGGTCCTTGCCCCATAGGGATTTGTGCTGCTAACCTAAAGTCGACACCTCTCTGGTAGTTCAAACTACCAGCAACTCTGCGGGAGAAAGATGGGCAATTTCCTTATAAGCCACTACACTGGAATCCATCAGCATTTAAATCTTCTCTATATCTTCCTCTGTTTGATCAGGAACTTTAAGCCAAGTGTTCAATCCTTGTAAGATGGTCCAGTTTTTCTGGTCTTAAGGCAGGTGACTTAGTTGTTCCTGAGACAGCTGCAGATTCTGTATCCTCCTCCAGTTCCTGACTTACCTTTCACCAGGTGACTAGAGACCAATTTTTGCGCCTTGAGTGAATGGTTGCTTATAAACATTTAAGACCCCAGGCATTACACAATGAACTAACAGAGGAAAAAAACACTAAATATTTAGTGTTTGAATGTAAGGAATTTTTTTTTGAGAGAGAGAAAGGTAAGCAGAGAAGGATCATCTCTTTAACACCAAGGAAGAACCAAGAATAGAAGGCATCCTTTTAGATCCCGGGTCCTTACATTGACAACCTCTTAGACCCAAGAGAACAAGGCACATGAAAATTTCCAAGAGTAAGTGGTCCAGCAGATGTTGAAAGATTAGGACTTTCTCTAGGGCCGACTTCTCTTAGAGCTGGCCACCTGAATTCTGACTTCTAGCCTTCTAAATTATGAGAGAATAAAGTTCTATTTGTTAATGCCATTCTTGTATTTCTGTTAAAACTTCACTAGAGTATTAAGACATAATCTTTTATCATTTAGATCTAGAAATAGGAAGTTCTATAGAGAAATACATTTCAGGGAAAAAAGCTGATCTGGGTTATGGGCGTTCCTTGCTGGCAATGATCGCTTTTCTTTTAGGAACCTCAGAATCACTGTAGATTTATCACCTTCATTAGAGTAATTTACGTCCTTAAAATGGGGGAATATGCTAGAAATGTACTCCATTATGTCGTCTTTATGTAAATGGAGAATAATATCCAAGAGATAAAATAATTAGCTCAGAATCAACACTAATCAGTAGTGAAGCTAGGATGTTTTTTACCGAGATTGTTTGCCCAGAGTCTGTTGTAACATGTGATTTTGTATTGCAAAACTTAAGGTCACTGTTCAGTCAGTAAGGAAAAAAAGATTTTCAGTGCATTAGTGTAGATCAGTGACAGGTTTTACTGACCTATACACACATTTGATGGAGATAGTTGATATGATTTCTGGTTGTATGAAAGTGTTTGAAGTAATTTGAAATCTTAGAGATTATTATATATGTTACAGATGTCTGGTTGCTTTATATTTAAATTACTTTTGTTAGTAAGGAATGAGTAATTCTATACAAATATATAGGGTTCATGGAAATGTTGTCAGTTAAGGGTTAAAGTGTTATAAGCAGTTAATGAATCACATAGAAACTTAAAACTGTGTGGTAATTTCCATGCTTTTCTTGTTGTTTGAGCCTCTTCTAATGAGCATTAATTTTCCTAAGTGTAAAAGTTTCTGAGCTTGTTAAAATGAGTTTCATTATACTATAAAGTACTTAAAATACAATTGCATGAGCCTTAAACATTTAACAATGATTTTGTTAAGTAGCGCTGGTGGTGGGATGTATTAATGTACGGGATCACTAAACTAAAAGTCGACAGTTTGAATCTGTCACTCATCTGAACCCCGAAGGAAGGTCACTGTGATTTGGAACCAACTTAACAGCAGTGGGTTTGTGTTTGGTTTGTTTTTGTTATACTGCATTTTGAAAAGGGAACTATGATTTGAATTAATATAAAAACCAAGTTATAAGTTGCCTGAGGATATTTAAATTTAATGAGACAAACAGAAGTAATTTATAGTGCAAGAACAGTCTCTGACTCCAACACTTGTGTCATGTGTACTTGTCTATTGCCATGCTAAACTTTATATACATTCTTGCATTATATATTCATGTAATACCAGACCTCTATCCAGTTCATTTTATTTTTTATTATTTCAGGAACCTTTGTTTCCTCTTATCTAAAAGGATTGAAATTCTTAAGAACTTTGTTCATAGGATGCTCATGATAAGTTCCTTTGTAAATGTTAGTTGCATACTCTTTTTATTCTCAATTGAATTATTTTCCAATTTATGTACTTAAGCCAAAAATACTTCTTTTATTTCTTCTTTTAGCAGAGGTTAATCCCCATGTGTATTAGAGTTAACAATTTCAGTATCCATCATCCCAGAATAAACCAATAAAAATTAAGTTCAACTCTGGATGACTTAGGGAAATACTATTATTTGTCTTTTAACAAAATGTATGGTTAGAAAAATTTTGGAAATTCTACACACAAACTCCTTTGTGTAAGCATACACTGTTGTTGTTGATGTTATGTGCCAGTGAGTCATTTCTGACTCATAGTGACCCTATGAACAACAGTTCTGAAGCCTACCCTCTCCTGAGCCAGTCTCACTGACTCTAATACACCTACCCTCATTGCCCCAGTTACTGTATCAATCCATCTCATCCAAGGTCTTCCTCTCCTGAGTTGTCCCTCCACCCTTCTGAGCATGATGTCCTTCTCTTTGGACCACATTAACATTATTAAAATTCTGAGCAATGCTTCTGTAAAGAACCCTTTCAAAAGTTCATTGTTGTTGTTGTTATATGCCATCAAGTCGCTTGCGACTCATAGCGACCTTATGTACAAGAGCTCTAAATGCTGTTCTATCCTTTGCCAACCTAGCCATCTCAAACACACTTATTCCCACCGCTCCAGTCACAGAATTGATCCATCTCATCAAAGGTCTTCCTCTCCTTCACCGCCCCTCCATTCTGCCAAACGTGATGTCATTATATAACATTTACTTAAAGAACTCCTACCACATGTTATTTTTTTTACAGTATTTTTATTGTCTCAGTAACACATTTCCTTCTTTGTTATGAGGCATTTGTTTTACCAATTCTGTAAGAATTTAAGATTTGTAACTAATGCTAATTAATTGTCTTTGTTTTTTTATTCTGATTATTTTGAATTATAAAAGGAAACTATGTCATGATAGTTAACAGTGAATTGATCTAATATTTTAATATTCATACTAATTATAAGTAAAACATCTAGTTTATTTTTTAAAGTAGGATATTTCACAAGTGGATTCATGAATTCATTTTCAAGACACATGGAAATCCATTCACATTTCATTTCCACTTGTAGGTAACAATTTAATGTTCTTTCTCCATTATTCTTGTCTCTGTTTTTAACAGCTATTTTTAAATGCTAACAATAAGGTGGCAGACAAGAACGAGAAAGACCTTGCCAACAAATTACTGACAGAAATGAATGAGGACCAGGTATCTACAAAGCCTGCATCTTGTTTCAGCTGATGACCAGAATCAGTCAATGGGAGTTACTATTCCTGTACTTTTATTCTTTGTATTGAAATGTGTAAACATGATTTAATTCTAAATGAATTGAAATAGACTGGTAATTAGAAATGGGAACTATTAATTATTTTTTAAATTCTTAAAAATGAAAATTAAAAATACTTTCATTTGAAAGATCAATATACTAGCATTTGGATTGCTGACATAAATGATGAGTAGAATTCTATCTGATATATGCATAGGTGTCCCTGTGTTCTTTTCAGTTTGAGGAGATACAAAGTACAGGAATGGGACCTCATGCTATCCACCTGACGATGACTTCATGTTTTGGGGAATCTTCCTTTTCTAAGCACTGTGGTGTAATGGGATTTTAAGGCTTTGTTTGTGAACATGTATGATTATTTTAAATATCTTTTATTCTTTGCTTTATGTTAATAAGAACTGATTATAATCCAATGGACAACCTGAATCTTGGAGGAAGGGAAGAAGATCCTAAACTCTTTGAATCTTAACTAACTTAGCATAAGACTTGACTTTTTTCTGCATATAAATACGACTCTGTGTGGATATAAACTAGGTAGAAGCATACAATTCATCTTGTTTTGTGAAGTGACTTAGGCAGTTTATTAAGGGGGGAAACTAATAGTATGCTTCATTATTTTTTTTATCAAACTGTTTGAGAATGATTACCTTGATATCTGTTGTTATTATTATTATCCTAAGGGCTAAATTTACAAATGGAGCTGTGGTATTAAAAGAGATGTAATTTATTTTCTATTTTATATGTGAAATAGCAATTATAGAATATCCAAAGATATTTTAGATTTCCCTGCATGTTTTAGTTCTTATTATCTGTAGGTGCTGGAGCATTTGGGATGGCATGTCTGATCATGTCTGACATTTGTATGGTACTTTGGATATTATTGATAAGGAAAGCTCCTTTGCCAATCCTTTGGTTTAATGTTCTTTGTAAATTGATTCACAGACTTTATTTACAATGGTGGGGTTTATTAGGGAAATAGGTTGAGAGTGGAGGAGGCAAAGAATAATCACACATTGCAAGTCCAGGTTTAGTCCAGCAGTCCTAAGCCATATTAACAAGACATATGTCCTCAGTTCAGACATCTTTTCAGTCAACAAGTGAAAGTCTAGCTGTAGTTCAGCAGCACAAATTCACCTCTGGTTTCCTTAGTTAGTTCAGTAAACTTTATCTGAGATCATTTACAAGTCAGCTTTTCTTTCATGCATCCAGCAAGCAAACCCCTTGTCTATCTTGGCTCTATCTTCAAGCTTCCTCTGTTTATATCTTGCCACAGTTACTTCACAGCAGTGTCAATGTCTCTTCACCCTCTCTCTACAATGGTTTCTCATAGTGTCTTCAGAGTGTGCAAAGAGTTGTCTTATATTGGTCCTGCAGCTCTTGATTTGCAAAAACGTGTGTCCACAGTTAAGGTAGTTGGAGACCATGCTATCTGCTTGCCACCACCCTCCATCCACCCCCAGGGGCTTATACAATGGCTAGAAAAGTCAATTTTCAAGTGTTCTGACACCCCACATGCTAGTCAATTTTTTAAATTGTTGGCGTTTATTGTTTCATTTTGCTGTAAGCACATTAGCCTGAAATTTAACACATATTTTCTTTAAAATGAGGCTTAAATCATACTAGACAAAAACAAAGCTAATTTTTTTCTTTTTCTTTAGAACTTTTTTTTAAAATTTTTATTTTATTTTATTTTATTATTTTTGTGTGAGTGTACCGTCAAATCAGATCTGACTGGTACAGGAGGAGATTGTCCCTCCTTCCCTGGCAGAGCATCTGGTGGATTCGAACCGTGTGCCTCTGGAATTGTAGTTGCAACTCCTTACACTAGGCCACCAGAGCTCCCCTTCTTTAGAACCTTTAACATTAAAGATTGCCTTGTCAGAAACATGACATAATTTATAAGCACTTTTTTTTGTTATGTGCTTCAAATTTTGTATTTTAAATTAAAAAAATACACCTCATTGCTTGTTAAGTACAATTAATTGATTGTTAGGTATATATTCAGTTTCAATTATAGCATAAGTCTTAAAAATGAAAAAGATTATTTTAGCCATACATCCTTGTGAAACATAGAACCTAGAATGTTTGAGTGTAGTTTTGAAGAGAAATAAAAATATAATAGAATTTTTAAGGATAAACCTCTTTCCCTTCCTCTTGAGATTGTCCATTACTTTTAAAAAGCATGTATTAAGCTTGTTTTTTTCCCCCTCAAAATATTTTAATGTAATGAGTGAATGTAGCTTTATTATTCTTTATTACTTTTTTGTTAAGTAGGTAACTTTTCCTGCAGGTTATAGGTTTCAGAAATTGTTTTCATTGTAAGAGAAATGTAATGCATGTTAAGTAATTGTTTTTTTAGGTTTTCAGAACAAGGGTATCCTAACTAAATAAGAATCTTGAACACATGTGTTAATTTCTTACATTTTCCCCCCCTTCTGCATAGATGTTTCAGGGGCAGTTGGATTGTTTGGCTGTATCAACCATTCAGGCTCTAACAGCAGTGATGAACAAATCTCCAGCTGCTAAGGTGAAAAATATGTCCTTAGGCTTAAAGTATTATCTTAGATGTACCAATTTCACTATGGAGATCACAAAATAACATGTTATTGTTGTTGATTGCTGTTAAGTTGAACACAACTCATCGCGACTCTATGAACTAAAGACCTGAAGCCTTTCTATAACTGTTGGCATTTATCAGAGTTCATGAATTTCCAGAGGCCTGTTGTTTAGGAAGTGGATGCCACTCCTGCTTCCAAACAAAATATTATATGGAAGTATGAAAGACTTATGGTTTCACACATAAATCATAAAATAATCTAACAAATTAATCTTAGTATAGGATTAATACTAAGATTAATCCTAGTGATTATCTAAATTAAGGGAATAATTTAGATAATAATTTTTAAGAATAACTCTTAGAAACATTGCCTTGAAATTGTAAAAGACATAGATGACTAAACTGAAAACTAAGAGATTTACAGTGTTGGTCGACATGTTCTTGAAATGGTCCCTTTAAGTGATTTTGTAGTTTGTGAATTTAAAGAACTAAATTTTGATGTTATAATTTGTCTTCATAAGCAAAAGAAATACCTTTTACTGGGACTGTTAGTTTGCGAATTGCATTTCCAGAATGTAAAGCATTTGGAATTCTTATTTGGAGTCACTAAACCACAGGATTCCTTTTTCCTTCTTAATCAGAGCCATTAACTCAGCTCTACTATCTTAAGTGTGCTAATTTTGTGCAAGTAATTATCTCATTGAGTAATTGCAGAGGTTACTGAAATAATTTGTATAGAGTGCTAGGCATATGGTAAATGCGAAAAAAAAATTAACGATTATTCTTACCGCTCTCACTTCTATGCTTTCTGTTATTCTTTATGTTTCATTCATTTCGTACCAGGAATTAATTGGTTACTTCTTCCTGATCCATGCCTTTTGGTTTATTCCCTACTTTTATTGTCTTGTGTTCAGAGACCAACTTTTGCTCTAGAAATGTTACCATAAGTTGTAAAGTGCTTTCTAAGTAGGCTTTTATAAGTTTTGCAGACTGGCTTGGATATTTAATCTTTATTTATTTATATAAGTTTGTATAAGGATAAATGATTCCATTTCCAAGTAATTGGTTTATGAGTATTATAGGCTTTCTGAATTGTATCATGAAATCAAATCTTAAAAGGATGCTCAGGTATTTTAAAAATTTTTTTAAGGTTTTGTTTACCAGTCAGTTCAATAATACATATGACCAAAGTGAATTTAATGATCCAGATAATATAGAACTTTCAGGATTAAAAAAAGCAAAAGAAAAAACTCTTTGTACCAAATTTTTTTCCGACCATTTACTCAAAATTTTCAGGACTCCTTTTTTAAAAAGACATTTCTAGCTACCAAGATAGAACTTGGAAGGGCGCTCATGGAGTCATGTAGGGAGGCTGTCGTTAACTCTGTGTAGTTCCCACCTTGGTGAACCTTCTGCCTCTCCTCTGGGCTTGGGGCTGGGTGTTGGTGGTCAGAAAGACAGGCAATGGAGGAAAAACTGGATGCAGAGCACAGGAAAGTCAGGATCAGCTTGCTGGGAATGTCTGACCACTTATCACTGTATCTGAAAATTGTCAAGACCTTTAATCTGATCTTTTGAGCCTGCTCTTCAACTTTTGTTACCCACAGAGTCTTGTATTTAGGTTTCACCTAATAGTCTGATTTTTTTCCCTCACCTAATACTCTATTAATTACAGATTACATGAGGAAGTAATAATCATGTGTCCTCATTTGCAAAACATTAATAATTATATAATATACAGTTACTAGTAGTATTACTGCTCTTTTTTGTAAATTTATTTTAACTGTTATATTCCAGAAAGTTTATGAGATATATTTTAAGATCTAAATAATGATTTAAGAAAAATAATATTCAACCCATAATCCTTATTTAATGTTGAGCCAACATAGTGAAATTTCCAGCAAATTCAGTCTTGATTATGTGCTTTGATATATATATGTATATATTCCTCTCTGCTAGGAAGTTTTTAAAGAAAGAATTGGTTATACACATATGTTTGAAGTACTAAAATCCTTGGGTCAGCCACCAGTGGAACTACTTAAAGAACTTATGAATATGGTGAGTTTATAATTAAAAAAAAATAATCTTCAATATCCAATCTCTCTATTTCAAAGTGGTAACTTACTTTTGTCTTTTATGTTGCTTTCTAGGCTGTAGAAGGTGACCACACTTCAGTTGGTATTTTGGGCATTAGTAATGTCCAACCTCTGTTGCTTCTTATCCAGTGGCTTCCAGAGCTAGAATCTCATGATCTGCAAATCTTCATCTCTGATTGGCTCAAAAGGATTTGTTGTATTAACAGACAAAGTCGAACTACTTGTGTCAATGCAAACATGGGAATTCGTATCATTGAAGCCCTTGATTCCCATTCTTCCCTTCACCGTGTTTGTGCTGAGAACTTGATTGCACTCCATAGTTCATTGGGGAGTCAGTCAGTGAGCTCAGAAGAAATCCGTCGGTTATTAAGATTGCTAAGAGTAGATGAATCTGAACACATTCATCCGTATACCATTCCTGTAACACGAGCAATCCTGACAATGGCTCGGAAACAAAGTCTGGAGAACGCACTGCAGTATTTTAACTTGTCACATAGTATGGCAGGAATCTCTGTGCCCTCCATACAGAAGTGGCCAGGGTCTGCCTTTTCCTTCAATGCTTGGTTTTGCTTAGATCAAGATCAGTTGACTCTTGGCATGGCTAACAAAGGAGGAAAAAGAAAACAATTGTACAGGTATTGGTATAAATCAAGGAAAAGAGATTAAGACTGCCATAGCAATATTTATCTTGAACAATAATAAACATTTAATTTTTGAATGTATGATAATAGAATGTTTCTTCATTTAACTACACATAATTTCATTATAAATGCTTTATTTCCTTTGTGATAGTGGTTTCTCTCAGATATATTGCTAGTTAAGTTCTAAGGCTAGTTTAGAAATTATGAAACAGAAGAAAATAATAAACTTGAAAATGTATGGTTAGCTTCTCTGTTCATTCACCGTCCTATCTATTTATATGGTGAACAAGAAAACGTACCCATATGTATGTCCAGACCGCAGTGATAACTTTCAGTATGCCTTGATTTTTTAAAATAGCTTTATTAATGTTTTCTAATAAGAATACATATCTAAAGTTATTATTTCAGGAATTTTGAAGATTTCAAAGCTGATAGTTTTACTATAGTTTACTAATAAAATTCCACTCCTAAAACGCCTTTATAAGTTATCATGTACTTTATGTCTAAAAATTTTGATTCAAAATTGCAGTGCTCTATTGCAATAGATTTTAAACCACAGTATTATTGATAAATATATAATGACTTTTGTGTACTTTTGTGTAATAGTGAAATTGAGCAGCTGACTTTAAAAGTTCTTACAATTCGCATTTTTGTTAGTTTTTTTACAGGAAGTGGTATAGGTTTTGAAGCTTTCATTACCCATTCAGGTACGTTGGTCGTAGCAGTTTGTACCAAAAGAGAATATGCTACAGTTATGCTTCCTGACCACAGTTTCTGTGATTCACTTTGGGTAAGGCCTGAGACATTACTTTTCAGTTTCTCAATTCTTTATTTTAACTTAAGATAAAAAAGGAATTATTATCTGCTTTTTGAGATTGGATTAGTTTTTGCTTTAAAGATTTATGTTAAAGGTATCATAGTAAGAATCTGCTCCACTTGAGCCTCCAGGCTGTACATCTCACAGGAGGAGGATTGTACTTCTTTTTCCTGGAGAACCACTGGAGGATTAAAACCTCCAGAAAGTCCTGAAGACTATACCGTTTGTTATCATCATCATGAATTCAGCACTAAATATTTTGCTACTTAAGGAAGGGAAAATGAAATATGATTTCCTTCAAGAGTTCTTCAAATTCAGATTTGAATACTAAAAGGGAGAATAAAAGTTCATAACAACAATACATTTCTTTTTTAATTCTTAAAATATAAAATGCTCTCGTTCGAAAAATGGTACTGAAGAATACTGGTAGCCTTGGAAAAATCAGAAATTTACTGTTACTCTTGTGTGTAGATTTTAAGAAACAGACTTAAGTACTCTTAACAATACTGTGAAAAAACTGCATTACTTGATTTGAGATCATCATTGTAATAAACATTTCATTATTCTTAATGTTCTACATTAACATGAACTATTTTAATTTATATAGACTAGTACTCCAACATTTTTCACTTCCAAAGATCTGATGTAAATTTATCTTTTTAAATGTATGTTTTACTTTACCAGCACAATATAACCATTGTTCATATGCCTGGAAAAAGACCCTTTGGTCAAAGTCTTGTCTATATATATGACAATGGACAACAGAAAGTCTCTGCCCCTCTTAGATTTCCTGCCATGAATGAAGTAAGTAAATCTAACCTATTTATTCTTTTCAGTTCCATTTGATTGTAAATTTTTTACATTTTTCATTTTCTTACAAAGAGTTTGGTCTCTTTACTGTAAATATATGCCCCCATAAATTTTAAACTGGCCATTGTACACCGAAACTCAGTAAGTTAATACCACATTCTGTTAACCTTAGTTATGTGAAATCAGAGACCATGAAATGTAGAAAAACATTTCAAGAAAAAGTAACAAAGGTGATTGAATGAGAAAAAGACATGTAATAGGAAAGTCAAAAGGGAAAAGAAATAAGAGTAGGCCAGAAGTTCACTTAGTCAAGCTGTGTTTTATATTTATTTTTATCTTATATTGATTTGCATACAGAATTCGTGTACATTGTATATCATTCATGTACATTAGTTTCACACATTCCTTCATTCACATTGTGTTTCAAACTATCATTAATGCACATTGTGTTTTATAATCCCTTAGTTAAGCTTTTAAATAGCGCAAAGTATATAGACAGTACAATGATACACTTTTCTCTATCTTAACTGAATTTGCAGCCACAGTGTAGAAAGTTTTTCTCCAGAGTTGAGATAGGTAAAGGATGGGTTATTTCTCAAATTTTTCTACTACTCTAATAATTTCTTATATGACGTCATTTGAGCTCTGGTGGCCTAGTGGCCAGAAGTTGTGCTGCAATCCTGAAGGCATGTGGTTCAGGCCACCAGCTGCTGTAAGGGAGAAGGATGAGCAGTCTGCCCTCATGCAGTTAACTGCCTCTGAAAACCCGCTGGAGGGTCAGCTATGGGTTGGTTCCAGTTCTATGATACACAATAACAACATGACAATCCTTGGTGACCGTTTTAGGATAACCTTTAATGCTTTTAACTGATGTGTATTTTTTCCTTGATTTATAAATTTTATGGAAATAAAGGCAGCTCTCTATTTTACAGTTGCAAATAATAAGCCTCAGAGCAGTTATGAATCAGCTGCTTCTGTCATTTTTCAAGAACTGTTTAAAAGAGATATATAACTAGGTATTTCTGTCATCACGGGAGACTAGAGCGAGGGCTACATGGTGGAGGGGACCTGGGGGAGGGTTTGTAAAACAATGAAAGAATCTTTTCTTTTACTTTTCCATAATTTTTGGACTCATGTACTTATAACTTGTTAGTCAAATTTGTGTCTTCTAGGTTGCAACACCCCCATGATACATCTTCAAGGATATGAACATGTACGGCCAAGCACAATCAATAAGAGTGCATCTAAATTCCAAAATCAATCTCCATAATAGTCTATGTGTTTCCTACTGCCAAAGGGGCCCTTTAGAGTAGTGAGAGAAGATCTTCACCCTGAAACCCACAGTGTCCCTTTTCAGCAGGAAGTAGCTAAGAGAATACGCCATCCCCTTTTCCTTATGACTCAGGGTGAAGTCTCTCTCAGGGAGGAGTGATAGGGAATGGCAAAGGACACACTGACAAAGAAGATTAATCAGAACTGACTTTGACAAGCACTGTGGCATTTGGACAAGAACAAACTGGGAGGAGGGTAGAGGGAATAGTGCAACAATGAATGAATGGAAACCCAAAATCTCTGTAAATGTTTATGAAAATTAATAAAATATAATTATAGAAAAAAACATTTTTAAAAAGAAGAAAAAAAAAATCTTTTTATACCCTTTATCTCCGGGCTTCTCTGGTTACACTTTGCCACAGTCTCTCCAGAGATCATCACCAGAGTCTCACTCTTCCCAGAGTCTCATTCTCCTCAGGGTTTCACTCTCCTCAGGATCCTGCTCCATTCTCCCTCAAGTCTTGTTGCTCAGTGTGGCCAGCACTCTCTTATCCTAGTGCTACAGCTACTGATGATTTGCAAGACCATGTCTCTAGTTAAAGTAGCTGGAGACCAGAGGGGGCCAATGTAACAGGAAAGGTAGCTTTTAAGCTAACACTGCAATAATAAAGTTGTTCTAAATTTTTTTAAATATAAATTCATGTAAAATTTTACAAATGTATATTATAAAAATAACACATTTAAATCCCTCCATTAACCACAGATAACTTCTGTAATGAATTCTTATGTATGTGTACATCATAATCCAGTAAACTAACACTGGTTCCAGTTTCATTTTCACGTACTTATTTGCTTTATTTTATTTCTAGTTTAATTTTAAAGATGGTAGTAAATATTTAATGTAAATTGGGGAGTTTATTTATTTCTTTTTTGGTTTCTTAATTTTTAGCCTTTTATTTCCTGTTGTATTGGTTCTGCTGGGCAAAGAACCACAACTCCTCCACCATCCCAAATCCCAGATCCACCTTTCTCTTCTCCTGTCATTCCTCATCGGGCTTCATTTGGCGGAATCTTGTCACCATCTTCCTGGGGAGGAACTAGTGAAAAATCAAAATTGATTACCAAATTGATATCAGCTGGAACCCAAGACAGTGAATGGGGCTGTCCCACATCTTTGGAAGGTCAGCTCGGATCTGTCACCATCTTCTCTGAAGCACTACAGCCTTCTCAGGTGAAGGCATTATATTTAGCAGGTGAGCATGGATGTTCGTACAGTTTAATTTAAATATTCTTTCCTTTTGCCTAGAGCAAAGTTTCTTTTCTTCATATATGAAGTATATGTTTTATCTGAATAGTTTTAATTGAATAAAAAATGAATTAAAAACCCCATTGCTGACCGTACTAGGAGGGTTGTTGACAAAGTTTTGTCATTCTGGCTTCTAAGAAACATTGTGGATATACTTCTCCAAGACAGATTTGCAAATTCTTCTGGCAGTCAAGTGGTACAATCAGTATTCTCCAACACAATATAATTCATAAGCATCAATTCTTCTTCACTCTTCATTACTTATTTGTCCACATTTTGCATTGTTGTTGTTGTTGTTATGTGCCATCGAGTCGCTTGCGACCCTATGTACAACATCCCTAACCTCTGCTCTGTCCTGTGCCAATCACACCGTCTCCAATACACCCATCCTGATTACCCCAGTCACTGAATCAGTCCACCAAATAGGGGCCTTTCCCCTTCTGTGCTGTCCCTCCACCCTACCAAGCATGATGTCCCTGTCCAAGGACCTGTCCCTCCTTGCAACATGTCCAAAGTATGTTGGATGGAGCCTTAGAATCCTTACCTCCAAGGAGCAGCCTGGTTTGACCCTTTCCAGGATGAATCTGTTTTCCTAGCAGTCCATGGTACCCTCAATACTCTTCTCCAGCACCACAACTTAAAGGTATCAATTCTCCTTCTATCCTCCTTAGTCATTGTCCAACTCTCTGATGCATAACAAGTGATTGCAAAGACCCTGGCCTGTATCAGATGCACCTTAGTCTCCAAAGATACACCATTGCTCTTCAGTACTTTGGAGAGGTCCCTGACAGCAGACTTTCCCATGGCAATACGTCTTCTAATTTCCTGGCTACTGGTGCCAAGAGTGTTGACTGTGGAGCCAAGCAAACTAAAGCTGTGAACAGTCTCAATCTCATCACCATCCATCCTGATGCTGCCAATTGGTCCAGTGGTTAGAATCTTTGTCTTCTTGACATTGAGCCTCAATCCATATTGGAGACTCCAGTCCTTGACCCTCTGCAGCAAGCCCTTCAGGTCCTCCTCAGTTTCAGCAAGCAGGGTTGTATCATCTGCATATCGCAGATTGTTAATAGATCTTCCACCAATCTTGACCCCACATTTCTTCTCATAGAGCCCAGCCTCCTGGAAAATCTGTTCTGCATACAGGTTGAAAAGGTATGGAGATAGGACACATTCCTGGCATACGCCCTTCCCAATTTTGAACCATGCAGTTTTTCCTTGCTCTGTTCTGACGACTGCCTCTTGGTCCCGGTAGAGGTTTCTCATTAGCACGATCAAGTGTTCTGGTATTCCCATTCTTCTCAGAATCAGCCACAGTTTGTTACGATCTACACAGTCAAATGCCTTTGCATAGTCAATGAAACACAGATCGACATTCCTCTGGTACTCCCTGCTTTCAGCTAAGATCCATCTAACATTAACTACAATATCCCTAATACCACATGAGAAAATTGAAATATTATGGCTTTATTCAGGTGCACTTTATTCCTTAAGGTGACAGTTTGCTCTTTAACACTTTTGAGAGATTTCTTTAAACAGATTTGGCTATTGCAGTACATCATTTGTTTTCTTCACTGTTGCTTCTATCAGTTGTGGCTTGAAGTAAAATTGTGTCCTTGGCAATTGCAATGTTTCCTATATTGTGGACCTCTGGTGGTATAGTCTCTAGTTACTTGTGCTGAAAACTCAGTGCCATGTGTCTTCAAGGTTTGAATCTACCACCAGCTCCAGTGGAGAAAAGAGAGGCACTCTTTGGCCACAGAAACCTAATAGAGGGTTGCATTAAGTCAGAACTGACTCATTGTCAATTTTTGAATGTAATCAGGATGATTCTCCTTGGTCCAATTTTAAGAAATTTGTTGTTGTTGTTGTTGAAGTGTAATCTGTACTGAAGACTATGTAATATTTTATCTTCATCAGTAAATACTTCATGTTTTCTTCACTTTGAGAAGGCAAAGTTTCCATCTGCATATTATAGGAAGTTAATGAGTCTTCCTCCAATCCAGGTACTACCTGATTCATATAATCCACCTTCTCTATTTACTTAGCATAAAGGTTGAATGAATGTGTTGAAAACATACACTCTGAGTCACCACTCCTTTCCTGATTTTCAACAAGTAGTGTTCCCTTTTTCTATTTGAAGGATTGTCTTTTCTATGTACATGTTATCCGTCACGTAATTACAAGCTCTGAAATTCCCATTCTACACAATATGATTCACACATCAACTACCTTTACATAGTCAATAAATATGTTTTCCTTTGCTTTCAACAAAGATCTAATATCAGCAGTAATGTTCCTTATTCTATGTTCTCTTCTGAATCTGACTTGAAATTCTGACTTTTCCCTGTCATTGTCTTATAACACTTGAAAACTATTTTTAAACCATAATCAGCATACTTGTATGTGCTGTTAATGATAATCTGGCATATTCTGCATTCCATTGTATCTTTTTTATTTTTAATGGTTACAAATACAAATCTTTTCACATGTTTATGGAAACAGTTCAGTTGACATGCCATCAGTTCATGGAATCTTTATTTACCAATGCTTTCAGTGCATTGTGGACTTTTTCAGTATCATTAGCTCTTGAACATATGGTAATAATTGAAATGCTTGAATGTCAAGAAGTTCTTTTTGGTATAGTGACTTTTATTCCTGCTATCTTCTTTATATACTTCTTGTATTGTTCGGTGCCTTGTCCATACAATCCTTTCATATTGCTGCTCTAGTTATTCAGCATGAGAAATGTAGAATGTGCTCTTTCCTTTTGGCATTCTAACTCCATATCAAGGTCTTGACACATTTTATTACAGTATTTCACTTTATATTCTTTAACTACACCTTGAAACCTTTTTCTTGAGCTTAATTCATCCCCTTTCACTTTAGCTATTCTGTATTCAGGAGCAAGTTTCAGACTCTTTTCTGACATCTGTTTTTAGGGTTGTCCCTCCTTTTTCGGTCTTTTTAATGACTTTTGTCTCACATGCATGACGTCTTTGATGTTATCCCAAAACTTTGTTTGGTCATCAGCATTCAGTAAGTGAAATCTTGAGATGATCTTTAAAATCAGGTGAGATATACTCAAGATAATATTTGTTTCTGTTTTCTTCAGCTTAATCTGGATTGATGGTTTCTCCATAGTTGACCCTAATCTAATCATCTGATACTTTTTAACTTCTTCATCATCTCTTCCCATAGATATCTTCAGTTTAAATTCTGTGTATTCCATCCTGTAAAGTCTACTTGAATAATCTCTATTTGAATTGTTGAAAAAAAAATTTTTTAATGAATAGATATAATTTGTCTTACAAATTTCCATCATGCATTCTTTGGCATAGTTTTTGTAGCAAGGAATTATTTTCCAGCTCTTCACTCTTTTTCTTTGTCATCCTTTTTTATTTTCACATGCATCAGTAATGAATGAATTTTAATTGCATGTTTGATCAATTTCAGACTATAGAGGTTGGTAAAATCTTCTGTTTCTTTATCTTTGGCTTTGGTGTTTGGTGTATAAATTTGAATAGTAGTTATGTTAACTGTTTTTTCGTTATCAATATTACTCATTCTCTCATTGACTGATGTATTTCAGAACCATGAAATATACTTTCCTTTTTAATTTGTCATTCCCAATATTGTAAGACCATGTCATTGTCATTGTCCAAAAAAAAGATAATACTAGTTCATTTTTTTACAGTTTCAAATTTTCCGATTCAGATTTTATACATTGTACATCCTATTTCTTAATGGTTAATGCTCTCATTTATGACATAACAGATAATTAAACATAACAAATAAAGAACTAAAAACCTTTATTCCATCCTATCATTCAAGTCAGTTCTGCTTTGAGGAGACAGTACTTCCCGGTTCATATTTTGAGCGCCTGCCAACTCAAGTGACTCATGTCACACTGATAGAGTGCCACAACACTTGGCTGCTATTCACAAGTTTTTCACTGGCCAGAAGTCTAGAAGTAGATCACCAGGTACTTCTTGAGTAGGCTTAAGTATGGATGCTCTGCTGAAATCTGTCTATCATGAATGACTTTGCTGATATTCATTTGCTGGTGAGATGTCAGTGGCATAATTTCCTGCACCACAGCAACATGCAAGCCACCATCATACAGCAGACTGTCAAGGAAGTGGTGCAGTTATCATTATTGCTTCGTAACCATTTATATAATTTTATCAGTGATTTAATAAAATGTTCAGGAGTTAAGCCTTAAGTAGTTAATTATGTTAAATCTACAGACTAGTTTATTGTTTGTCAAATGTCTAAAATTGCATTGTTGATGTGTACTGTTAAGTCAGAACCCGAACCATAATTGACCCTTTAATGGCTTTTCAGAGGTAGTAAATTACCTGGGAGGAGTTTGTCCATCCTTCTTCTGTAGAGCAGCTGGTGGATTTGAACTCCATACCTTTGGGATTGTAGCAAAACTGCTTACCACTAGGTCACTAGAGCTTTAAAATAAATGAAAATGTCCGTTATTTCAAAGTTTGCATTAAGTTCTCGTGAGTGCTTAGAAACTAATCAGTGTGTTTGAAAGAGATGTTCAAAGTAAACTCAAACCATATTAAGTCATTTAGGGTGGCCATTATAACTATTATTGCTTAGATTTTCCACTTAGAATCCTACTCTTATGAGTGATATCTTACATATAAGATAGTAGCTTAGTCATAATTTGTAAAGAGTATATATTCCATTAGCATCGTAGTATATGATTTACTTGAGTTGTTTATAATTTTTAATATGGATGTAAACTTCAAATATTAGCTATGATGAACTACATCTGTAGATTGTTTTATTTTTTACTTAGCATAAACTCCAAAGGTAAATATTCAAAGTGAAAGGACATTTTTCATGACACCGACCCTATTTCAGAAAGGATATTCATTAAAGTACTTTTTATTGTGTTTTAATTATGTTGTTTGATTAATTAAAAATGTTTCCTCTTAAAATCCACTATAATGAATAATAAAATTTTCTTATAGTTTTTTTTTCTGATTATATAGGACATAGGAAGCCATATCTGTTAAACTGTGCATATGTTTGTGTCCCAATAAATTTAGGTCCAAACTGTTTAAGCCCTTGGAAGTGTCAAGACTCTGACATGGCTGACCTTCCTGGCAGTGTTCTCCTTCACTACACACCAAAGGTTAGAGTAAATCTGTGGACTGTCCATCTGCTTGTAGTTATGTTGTCAACTAAACTTCATTTTCTGTTTCTTTAGTCCTTTCAAGTAATAATGGAGTGTGAAGGGATTGAACTGTTATTTTAAAGCAATAGGTAATTTCAAAGGGATATAGGACACAAAACAGATTGAGTTCACTTTTTCAAAAATTATTATTTACAAGGTGTATGGTTCAGTCAAAACAATAGTAATTCTGAATGCTGTCCCCGTACTTTTTATGAGAATAATTGTAGCACGAATTTATGCTAATTCCTTTACTTTAGGAAATACAGCTTATATTTCCCAAGTTTTTTGGTTAAGAGCTAAATCAGTGCTGTGCTCAGCCTTTTTTGTTTGTTTGTTTTGCATGTAATTTGAGCAAGTGAAAATTAAATGTTTTCTTCAGAGACCCATGCCCTATAGTTTTTCAAGGACTGACAAGGAAGTAGAGTTGAATGGAAATGAAAGAATTAGAAGGAAGACAAGACAGAATAACATTAGTTATGTCATTTTTTATTATGTCATTTTTCATATACACACACAATAAAACACAATAAAAAATTTCATTTACACCCATCAACAAACGAATGGATAGAGAAGCTCTGGTATATTCACACAATGGAATAATATGTTGCAATGAAAAACAAGGAACTCATGAAATATAAAAAGGTGACCGTGGAGGACATTATGCTGAGTGAAATATCTCAGTCACAAAAAGGACAAATATTGCATGGTGCCACTGTTGTAAAATGAGAGTGACATTGGGGGTGAGAGGAGACTGAGAAAGAGGGGATAAATAATATACATTATTTATGCATTGAAACAGGTGAAGGAGAGAACTTTTAAAAGGGATATATGATTATGTATTATTGTCATGACAAGAGTCCAGAATGAAGGCTGCATAGTGGAGTAGACTTGGGGGGAGGGATCATATCACAATGAATGAATTTTTCTTTTACTTTTCAAAGAGAAGAGCGAGCTGGGGGGGAAGGGTGGGCAGGGAAAAAAGTAGAACAGTGAATGAATGAAAATCCAAAATCTAAATTTTCATTAAAGGTAATTTAAAAAATTTAATAAGAAATTTTTGTTTGCATATATTGTTTTAAAAAGGAAAACTTTTTAATTATGTAATTGGTGAAGGGTCAGTTCTAAGAATGATTTATTTTGACAAGCACCTCCTTTGATGCCTGAGTACTAAAGAATTTATTTTCTTAATCCTTACTTTAAGAGATAAAATAGAAATACAGATGAATGTGGGTATTCTATCCTATAGTATATAATGTGTCTTTTAATTTTTTCTATGTGGTTGTAATTGTATTTTTATTCGAATTATACTTATTGCCATACCTTGATTTTTTTCTTAGGCCTGCAAAAGCCCAATCTGTCTTGATTTATCAACTAATTGTTTACATGGAAGGTTAACAGGAAACAAAGTAGTAAACTGGGACATTAAGGTAAATTATTGACAATTGGTAGAAATCTTATTATGTAGGTTTAAATTTTTTATTAAAAATTTGGGATTTAAAAAAAAATAAGATTAATAAACTTCCAAACTTATAAAAATAATTGTTGCTATTGTTACGTGCCATCATGTCAAATCTGAATCATAGTGACACAGTGTGACAGGGTAGAGATACAAGATTTCTCAAGCCATATTCTTTACAGAAGTAGACTGCTAGGCCTTATCTCCTGTGGGGCACTGGTTGATTTGAATCAGTTACCTTTGAGTTAGCAAGCAAGCACTTTGAGATTGTGCTACCAGACTTCTGATCTGAATAATCAAAAAAAAACCTTGGCTTGAAACAACTCATACCCTCCCATGGATTTCTAGAGGCTGTAAATGACATGGGAGGAGATTGCCAATCTTTCCTGGAGCTACAGGTGGATTAGAACCACTAGGGAGGCACCAGTTTTGGATTAGCAGTGCATCTCACTATGCATTATATCACCAGAGCTCCCTGAGTACATCTCAGTTTAAATGTTTGCTGCTGGTAGCAGAATGACTATTGTTATGTACTGCAGAGTTGGAACCAATTCATAGCTGACCCTCTGTAAGAGTTTTCAGAGGTAGTTAATCACAAAGCTGGAGATTACCTTTCTTTCTCCTGTGGAGTTGCTGGTAGCCTTGAACCACGTGCCTTTGGGAATGACTTTAGCCATGACATGTTTCTTGAAATTAGTTACTTACCTAAGCTAACTTAACACTCTCCATAATTTTTTTAAAAAAAACCAAAAAACATATTAAAGAGTTTTATTGATTACCTCACTTTTAAAGTCTTGAATCCCTAAAGCTATGTGGTAAATTCCTCCTAACCCTCTCAGGAGCCCCACTGATTACTTCATTTGTCTTTGTTTTACACTTATCCTCCTTTTGTCTGTTAGCTTTAAACAAATTCAAATCTTTATTTTTTTACCATTTCCTTTCTTTATTGTATCTTGTCTGTCTGCTGCATCTTTTGCATCTTTATTTTCTCTCTTGCAGCTTTTCTTCTGTTTGCTTCTGTTTGGTTTCCAAGCTTGTATCAACTGTTTCTGTTAGGTTTTTCCACTATATTTTATTATTTCACTTATGATGGTGACTAGTAACTATTTGGTTGTTTGACTCTCTGGTAATCTATAAGGGCATTGGAGGAGGGCCCATTTCTTTTATCACCAGGGCCTGGCACATGGGTATATAAGAAATATTTGTTGACTGAATGATTAAATAAGGATTTAGAATAATAAGAAAGTGAAACTTCAATATAATATCCTTGATTCTGTAATAGATATTTGTAGTAGACATTTAATAGCTTAAGTGAAATTAAATATCAATGATAATTATAAATGAGCATGCTGCCAAACAGGAAAAACATTTTTCTTCTAATCAATTAACAATCAGTCTTACATATATGTTATTTTAGTAGAGTAAAATCATTAGGATAATTCTGTTCATGTAAAATTAATTAATTATTTTAATCTCATTTATATGGTACAAAGTATTTTTTCACTCACTTTGAGATGAGAACACTTATCTATTAACATACTAGGTTTTTTAACATTCAGAAATCATGGTAATTTTTGTCATCATTCATTAGATTGCTTTTATAAAGCTAGTTCTATACTACAATTAAGTCTTTAGTAATTTTTGTAATAGTTGTTTGCATTCCCTAGTTAGTCTTTTCTCTTATGTAGAAGTGAAAATTGAACAGAATTTTTAGAGGATAACTATTTTTATGCTGCAACATAATAAAAGACAAAATATTTAAATGATGAGTGACACTGACAAAATAATTGCCATCTAAAAAGCTAATTTTCTTACTGTACACAATGCTTTTAAAAATAGTATGAGATACAGGTAAAAATAGGAAGAAATTTTTTCGCAAAAAAGGGAGCACAGAAGATTGACATATATTTTTACATGCTCATAAATATTGAGGGGGAAATCAGACAATGATAAAAGCTTAAAAGTCGTCAAATGGCAAAAATGTTAATACCCAATGAAGTAAATTGTGAATGAGTGTGGGAATCTGGATTTCTACACTTTGAACCATTTATAAGTAATAAAATTACTCCTTAGATTATACACATAAAGAAATATTCCTTAATCGTTACCAGAGATAGGAAGGAAAAACCAGCTAATAGATAATAGGCACATACTAAGATCAATGAAGGGAAAGACAGACAATTTATTATAAAGAAATTATTAGCACATTATTACTAATGAAAAGAGAAAACACCGAGAAGTTGAGAAGTTCCAAGAGTGTATTTATAATGTGGTTGTATAATTATACAACAGTTTTAT